GGAGCTTCGCTGGCTCACCTACCTGCTGACTGACCTTGGAGAGCCACCTCGTTCTCCTCCAGTGCTGTACGTAGACAACAAGGCCATGCTGGCCTTGTGTCGAGAGCAGCGCTTGGAGCACAGAACGAAGCACATTGCTCTCCGCTACTTCCTTGCTCGTGAGCTGCAGCAGCATGGTCAGTTGCGACTTGCGTACGTGGCCTCTGAGGCCAACAGTGCTGATGTGTTCACCAAGGCACTCGCGCCTTGTGACCATCAGCGAAGGAAAAGGGCGACTCGGAGGGTCGCTAAAAAAAAGGCGCGCGCCTCGGGCGCGCTTCGGTGGGCCCTAAAGAACAGTCCCTAGGATGGGACCTGCTCTGATTCCATGTGGAGAAAGGAACGTGAATAAAATGACTATGAATGAAGTGAGTACAAATAGGAAACCCTAGTTGGGTTGTACCCCCTATGGGATACCCCACTATAGTCTACACAAATAAGTAAGCTATAATATTCTGACAGTTACCATCTGATTAGGGTCGAACCATCGGACTGCGCCAAAACAACTTCCAGGACTAGGTACGGGTCGTTCGAGTACACTGTGATGCCATTCTGGCTGACCAACGCACCGACGACTTTTCAGATGACCATGAACGAGGCATTCAGGCCGCTCTTAGATAAATGTGTCATAGTTTACCTCAACGACATCCTAGTTTACAGTCAGGATCAGCAGCAGCACTTAGCAGATCTGGAAGCAGTGTTTAAGGTTTTAGACGAGCACAGATTACTGACCAAGGGTTCCAAGTGCGAGTTCTTCCAGGATAGGTTAGAATTTTTGGGGCACGTTATTTCGGAGGCTGGAGTTGAAATCGACCCAAAGAAACTGGATACGGTAAAAGCGTGGCATCCCCCGGCGAACATCACAGAGCTGCAGAGCTTTTTAGGGTTCGTTAATTATGTGCGTCGGTTCGTCCCCGACATGGCACGGTTAACTGCCCCACTGACGGACTTACTGTGGAATGGGGGTCGTTTTTACGTGGGGGGAGAAAGAGCATGCTGCCTTCTCTACCCTGAAAAATGTTCTCTTTTCCCCGCCCGTCCTGCGCATCGCCGACCCACACCGCCCATTCGAAGTAGTTACTGACGCAAGCGATATCGCCATCGGAGCCGTAGTGCTACAGGATTTCGGCAATGGCCTACAGCCTATCGCATACGAGTCACGAAAACTGCATCCGCCCGAGAAAAATTACCCGATACACGACGGCGAAATGCTTGCGATCGTGCACGCGCTCAAAGTATGGCGCTGTTACTTGACTGGCGCAGACGTGACAGTACGGACAGACCATAAATCACTACAGTACCTTCGCGCACAGCCACACCTCAACCCACGACAAATTCGATGGCTCGATTTCCTCGAGTCCAACTTTCACTACACGGTCACTTACAAAAAGGGAGCCTCGAACATCGCCGACGCACTGACCCGCCCCACTGCCCAGATCCATGTAATACTACTCGCCCAGACAAGCCCGCTACTGACAGGCCTATTCACCCACGGATACCAGACGGATCCATTCTTCACAGGAGGAAATTCGCAGCCGTTCGTAGCAGCAAAGGGAGTCTATTACGTAAAAACCGGGACTGACCGCATTTGGGTACTGTCAGAATGTTATTATCTAGCCTGTAGTGGGGTGCTCTATAGCAAGTACAACCCTGTTAGGGTTTGCTATTTTGTGAGAATCGTAGATAGAGTGAGGAGCCATAGCTAGGGTTTAGCTAGCTAGGCAAGAGAGAAATGAAGAAAGGAGGGGTTTCACTAGCAGCAGTTGGGATACATATAGCAAACCCTAACAGGGTTGTACTCGCTATAGAGCACCCCACTACAGGCTAGATAATAACATTCTGACATATATGTATCCCAACTAGTGCTAGCGAAAACCCCTCCTTTCTTCATTCCTTGTTATTTCACATGGTATCAGAGCAGGTCGACCCTCCTGGGTCGTTCCTGTGTATGGGCCCACCACCTCACTCCTTTCGCTGCCACTGCTACTCTGTGTGTTGCACGCCCCGTGGTGTGCGACGGATTTTTCTTCCCGCCGCGCGCTCGGAGCGTTCGGCGATTCTCTGCCCACCGTGCGCCCCGAGGCGCGCGGCGGCTTTCTGCCCCGTCGGTCCGCGCGTCGCCCCCGGGGGGCGCTTCGACGGGCGACGGGGACCAGCCCGTCGTCCCCGGTCGCCCGTCCCGGCCAGCGCGGGCTGCGCTAGCCCTGAGCGCCGCCCGTACGGGCTGCGCCCGGCCCGCGCGTGGCCCGTACGGGCTGCGCCAGGCCCGCGCGCGGCTTGGTCCGCCTGCGCGCGGTTCGTCTGGCTGTGTCAGGCCCGTGGGCGGCCTGTTCTTCTCTGCCCCTGAGCTGCCCGCTATCCCCCGTGCTTCAGACGGCGCCCCACCCCTGCTGCTGCCCGTTCTCCTGAATTAGGGTTTGGGGGTGGGGGGTATGGGGGTGCAGTTTCTGTGCGCTGTCCCCTGCTCCTCCTCCTCCTCCGTCTCCCAGTGCTGCAGCTGCCGCTGAGGGGGGTGGATGTGTTGTGTTGGAGCCGTCGGAGTGGTACGAGGGGGTGACATGGGAGTGGAGTTAGGGGTGAAGCAGTTAGGGTGTGTGTCAAGGGTGTGGGTCAGTTGGAGGAGGTTGTGTGGAGGTAGCTGCCGTGTCGCCTGCAGCGCTTGTAGTCCGTCGCCCTTGCTTCGGTAGCCAGTGAGCCTGTTGCACCAATCGCAAGTGGGTCCGTTGCTCCTGCTGCTCGTCTTAGCCGCGGAGCCAGTCACTCCAGTAGTCCGTCGCCCTTGCTTCGGTAGCCACGGAGTCAGCCGCTCCTGTGCCCGTGCCTCTACAGCTTCAGTCGTTGCCTCCCATCTTCTCTCCTTCCACAGTTCCTCCTCCTCCTCACTTGCCCGCTGTGATTACCTCTAGCTTTGTTTATTATTATGAACTCCTGCTCATTGTGTTGATTACACCCCACTTTGGCTATGGGGGTGTGTCAGAATGTTATTATCTAGCCTGTAGTGGGGTGCTCTATAGCGAGTACAACCCTGTTAGGGTTTGCTATATGTATCCCAACTACTGCTAGTGAAAACCCTTCCTTTCTTCATTCCTCGTTATTTCACAGGTACCTGTGTATACACTGCTACGGGAATTACTGTTATAGGAGGCACACGACGGAGTTACCTCGGGGCATTTCGGAGTAGAAAAACACGGCAGCAGCTGCAGCGGTATTATTACTGGCCCGAAATGTTGACCGACGTACAACGACACGTGGCATCGTGTCCCACTTGTCAGCTCATGAAATCATCACGACAGCGGCCGGCGGGACAGTTGCAGCCGATACCACCCCCAGAGCGTGCTTGGCAGCAGGTGACGATGGACTTCGTCACGGGGTTACCAGCCGGGGCGAGTGGGAACGACGCGATCCTGGTCGTCGTCGATCGACTGACGAAAATGGCACATTTCGCAACCTGCAAAAAATCAATCACAGCCGAATAAACAGCACGCCTCTTCATCTCCATCGTCGTTCGACTGCACGGGATACCAGCCGCGATCATCAGCGACCGCGACACGAAATTCACCAGCAACTTCTGGCGGAACTTGTGGCAGCAGTTCGGCACGCGACTACAGTTCAGTTCATCATACCACCCCGAAACCGACGGGCAGACAGAACGGACAAATCAGACCATGGAACAGCTCATCAGAGCCACGTGTGACGACCCGACCACGTGGGAACAGCAACTGCCACTAATCGAATTCGCGTACAACAACTCGCCATCCGCCACGACCCAACAGTCACCATTTTACTTAAACTACGGACAAGACCCGACAGTACCCATGACCCCGAATCCCGACAACCCAGTACCACGAGCACAACAGTTCGCCGAACTATTACAAGCAGCACGGACCCGGGCAGCATACGCAATAAAAAAATCGAACATCATCGCTAAACGCAACGCCGACCGCCACCGCAGACCTGTCACTTACCAACCCGACGACTTAGTTTTACTTGACACTCAGAACCTCCGACTTTCCATCACCCCGAAACTCCGCCCCCGATACTGCGGGCCATTTCGCATAAGCCACATGCTTACACCCGTCACCGCCCACCTCCTCCTTCCTGCTGACTGGTACGTCAACCCCTCATTCCACGTCTGCCTACTTCGCCCTTACGTCCCGTCCACGAGCCAACTGCCACGCAATCGCCCAGCCAGCATGACAAGACCACCAATCGAACCAATCGTCACCCCCGAGAAAATCATGAGTCACAGAGTTCGCGACCCTCGAGGAGCCCGAAGGATCGAGCTCTTACTCCGCTGGAAGGACCGTACACCCACCAAAGACAATTGGGTTTCCCTGGACAGAATTGAAAACCACCCCGTCCTCACCGAGTATCTACGCAGCCGAAATTTCAGGGATGCACACGCACTTACGTAAGGAGGACCTCCTTAGGGGGGGGGGTAGTGTAAGGAAAATTCCTTTTCCTTACTTCGCATCCCTGCTCAACGCGTACATCACTGTAGCACCACAGTCAGCACCGTTACCACTCGCAACCCTCGCATCGACAATCCGCCCGCCACCTTCGCACATCGCACCCCGACCTCACGGCTCAGCGGGTAACCCGCGCTCTGGGCCTCCGCTTCGACACTTTTTCCCAACCTCAGTCCCAGGCCCGTCGCGTGACAACCACAGTCCATTACCGTTACCATTGTAGTTTCGCTATATATTTTTCGCTCATGCCTTCGCTCATTGTATTCTTGCTTCGATATTGCAATTCTCATTCGTTCACTCAATTGCACTCGTAACAGCAATCAATGAAATATTGCTCAGGCAAGGGAGCTTCCTGAACTTAACCTATCAAGAAAAAGACCGTGGGCGACTAATTACAACCTAGAATTCTGGCCATAGTATGGGTAACGAGTAGCTACACCCCATGCACTACAGCACACATAATAAATACGCCATATAAGTGTACAATACGTACTACCACTCATGGTAGTACGCTGCTGCCGTAGTCGGGTTGGGTGTGGCTTCAAACGGCCGTCCTGGGGGACTTTGCAGTATGGAAACTTCAACTAAATTGGGAGACTCCCTGACACCCCCAGCACCAGTAGGAGTGGTGGTAAGACCAGCAGCAGCAATGCCCGTACCAGCGGCAGCAGCAGCAGCAGGAGGAGGAACAGAGGCAGGAACGGATGACACAGGAAGCGGAGGCTGAGCCCTTTTTGGTGCGCCAGGCACAGCAGATGAGCGTTTGTGATGCACAGGGAATAACCCTGTAGTCTCCTCCTCATCCTCTTCATCAATATCGCTCAACACATCGCCTGCTTCTTCCCGAAACCTCCCAAAAAACTCCGATTGGTGCTGCTGCCCATGCCGCTTGTGCTCCCCTTTATCCTCGTCCTCACTCCCCTCGTAGTGATACCCATCGTGAAATCTCGGCCGTCCGTCCGACTTCCCCCCGCCCATCTCGATGAACTTGGCCCGTTCTCCCTCCAAACGGACACGCTCTGCCTCGGCCTCAGGCTCGGCTGCAAGGAAGACGCTGCAGGCAGCAATGATGATGACTATGCCCATGCCTGCTACCACCACTGACATCCACAGAAACACACTTACGTCGGCGCCTGTGTCTGCGCTAGTGGGGGCTGCTTGGGGAGCAGCAGGGGTACACACGATACAGTGATTAGGAGAAGGGGGGTGCGAGCAGCAGGCGTGAGGAACGGTTGGAATGGGTGTGGATAAGAAAAAGGTCTGTATATGTCCCCTACTTTAATCATAGCATTGAATTTCCTCTGTTTCATTCACTATGCTATGCACACCCCACGATGCACAATGCCGCAGCCACCATTGAACATGTGCATTGCTGCCTGTTACCACTCTTTGCAATGACGATGATGTAAAGACACAACTATCCTCCCCTCTGCCTCACTCACTCACATGCACACAGGCACGCGCCCGCACGTGCTGCCACCCCCCCCCCCCTCCCCCCCTCCCTCCCCCTCCCCCCCTCCCTCCCCCTCCCCACCCACCCACCCACACACCTTCTGCCGCAGCATGTGCCACCCCCGTGTGGTTACAAGCGTAACACGCCAGGTTGGCATGGAAGCTACCCGGCTGCACAAACGTGAAGAGGCCGCGGCTGTCACGGTCGCTGAAGTTGCTGGAGCACACAGCCCACGTGCCAAAGCACCCGTCCTTGTACCACAACGCTTGCCTCTCGTACAGCCCACACGTGCGGCACTGCCCGTGATCTAGCTGTGTCACTGGCTGGTGGGGAGAGTATCAGCAGGGGGGCGAGGGGGAGACAGCGGGGGGTTGTGGGGAGGGGTGAGGGGGGAGACGGGGTAATGGCGTTGAGCGGGACTGAAGCACCGGTCTTGGTGCCCAAGGCTCAACAACACGCAGAGCATTGGTGAAGCAGTGCTGCAGGTGCCTAGCGTGTGACTGGCTGAGGTGGGAAGCGTGAAAATGTGGAACGAGGTAGAGAAGATGTTAGATGTGAACAGGAGGCATGGGAGGAGGGAGGGAGGTCAAAAAAAGAACGAGGACTAGTAATGATGTGGGGGAAAGGAGTCGGCGAGAAGGGACACTGAGGGTTAAAGGAGGTTTAGATATGGCAGTCCACCCCAACAGGTGCTTCTGAAACAATGTGGTGGAATGCAATGCAACAAGCCAACGAGCTCACAGAGACACACACATGGAATGATGGAATGCAACACAACAAACACACACACACACACACACACACACACACACACACACACACACACACACACACACACACACACACACACCAAGGACTTTCTCCTATCCCTTATCTCCTCCTTCATTGTTTCCCTCACTTTTCTTGCTTCGTTCACCTCTCTTCAACGCTTTCCTTCCCATGGGCCACCTCACCCAGCCATACAGCAGGACCAATCAGGAATACAAAACAGAAACTCCCAAAGAAAAGCAAGTTCAGCAGCCGCACAGGAAACCCTCCTTCACTGCTCCCAGCTTGAACTTCCATTGTGTCGCATCACGTCCCCCCATGCATCGATCACACCAATCCCCGATGCATCCATCCAACACGCAACCACCCATCTCCCACCATCCATCCGTGCACCCACCAACCAGGCAACCATCGTTCCGATCATCCATGAATACAAGCATGCATGCACGTGGCGACGCACCCACCCACCTGCCATGACTCGTTGCCTTGGAAGGTGAACCACGTCAGCGTCGAGTTGACGGCGGGCAGGTACGTCCGATTCGCAGAGTCGCATTCGATGTAAACAGATGGCGTGCCGTACCAAGAGAACCGTTTAAAGAGCGTCACACTCTCAAGCGACACGTTATACGCTGTGCATTGGTTGGAATGAAGGGTGGGATAAAAAAAAAACAAAAAAAAAAAAAAAAAAACAAAAAACAAAAAACAGGTTGTTGATGTGTTTTCAGGACGCCTGTCCTCCTGCAGGACAAAAACCAAGCATTCTCATCGAATTCGATTTTTTTTCTGAATAAATTCGTATGAATTCTGATGTTATCAGAAACGATCCGCTTCAATTGTCAGCGAACGCAAGCTCCCCGCAGTACCTTGGCTGTGGCGGATCATGGCTGACAGCAGCACTGCAGCGGCAAAGACTAGGAATCGAGGGAAGGGCCTGTCGCTCATCCGGCCCTGCGACGTTCTCCCGCCTGCGACAAGAAAACGTCGCATCATCCTTGCGGACAAAGGTGCCGCGGGAATCAACACCTAACTACGTGACACCCCAAGTCGTTACTTGAGGCGAAATTCTTACTTGGAACAAACAAAACTATATCCAAAAGGGCAATTGGTATTTTACGACGAGACTTGCGGTGCGATGACTAAGAAGTGCCGTGGCCGGTGGATGTTTCCAAGTACAACGTGATCGGAAGTAGATCGACCTCTCTACAACAAGGCTGTTAGAAGCTTGGGTGGAAGCGGCAAAACGAATTTAATAGTAACAACCACGGACCCTGATTCTCTAGCCGCCGTTGCGTCAACGTCGTCTTTCAGGCTTAGCCGCTTGCTGCAGGTGAAACTACCACTTGTGTGGATCAACGTCAAAGCAGATTCGTAAGTTGGTTGCGCAGAACCAGTCCCACAGCATGAGGTCAACCAACGAGAACCAAACTTGGACAAGGAAAAAGGAGCTGACAATTGTGAATACAGAGAGGAGGAGTGTTTTCAATTCGCAAATTATGAAACGCAATTGTGTGCCGAGCCGACATCATCTCCTAGTAGTGACCCGCGCGTGTGACGAATTCTGCCTGAAATTCCCTGACACGCCTTTCGGACTAGACACGCCCCCAATGACTTCTAGAAGCCAGGAGCAAGGGCAGATGATGGACCAATTGGTGGTGTGACGTGTCGTGCAGGTGATGGGTGAATTCGATGAACTTGGATGCAACTTCTGATGCTGTCGATGTGCAATAGCTGTATTGTATCTAAATCTCCACTACAAGCATTCTCAGCGAACAATTAAAACAACGTACACTTAAACCGGAAAAACACCTCACAATAAAAACAGCATATACAAAACATAAAAAATAGCTCGGTGTAGATATTTGATGCTAAATAGCAAAATATAAATTGATAAATTTAATATGATACAGAACTTCATATACGACAGTTTTTGCTCGTCTTCTACAAGTTTCGGACAAAGTAACTCAATATTATTGACTTCGTGTGGTTTTAATTAGAGATTTATCATGACTTGGAGTATAATTAGGTGTTGGTACTATAGATAATACAATCTACAATCTTATAGCATTTGAAGCAAAGCTCAAATGTCGCAAAGACCTTATAACTGTAAGTAGACACACCCTGACAGAAAGAGCGCTGATTTCAGTTGCCTTTCATTCCATCCAACCTTGCCTGGAAACCTGGCAGGAGATGAGTTGCGGACCCCCTCCCTTGTGACTTCAACCTTTGCCCGTGCTGATTGTGACTGGCGAATTGGTGCGGACGTGGCGGTTGGAACTGTTCTCGCTCTCCTGCTCGATTGGACAATGCCAATGAGAAGACACCTTGCAAAATCCTCTGCCACGTCGGTTGCGTGAAGCCCTCACATTTCGTGCCCCTGTGGGTCACACCAAAACATCTGGAATCCCGAAAACTTTCGCAACCACGATTCGTGAACGCGAAGTTGTTCGCTAGCCACGAATCAGTCCCGCGTTACCAGACTGTTTTGCCAGACCTTCGCGCTGGTACAGCTTCTCCCTGTTGGCTTTGTCTCCAAACCTCATCACGCGGCCCCTTACAAGCCTCTCCAAACCAACAGATGAACTTCTCAAGCTTCTCTCCGAACCTCATCCGTAGCTCCGTTTCCTGCCTCCCTTGTTCCCCCCCTCCACACACCTTGGGATTCAGGAATCGGGATTCTCACTCACTGCGATCTGCCTGGCAGTGGCTGGCAGACCTTTCTTGGGACTCCCCCTCTCCTGACCCACTCCTGTGTTTATCTACCCATCCGAATTTGTTGAATGATTGATCTTTTGTGACTTGCCGATTGATTTGATCCAGCACTCGACGAGCTCCGTCCTTCCAGTCCCAAAGCCATTTAACTTGAGTTTGCCTTGCAACCGCTTTTACAGTATGGCGGCCCTCGCAAACGGCTCTAAGGTCCTTCCTGTCTTCGCGACAGGCAGCAAAGGTGCTCAAAATGGCAGCCGTGCTACCCTGAGCTCCAGGATGCTCTCAGGAACCCGAGCTTCGGTTTCTTCTCAGAGCACGTTCTTCAGCGGCCGCGGTACGTCAATCAAGATGCGTCTAGCTTTCATTCGCCTTCCGCCGTTTGGCCGTTATTCGTCGTATTCCTCCCGGGTTCTTCCATGCTGTCAAACCACCAATGGCGGTCCTGAACGAAAGATGTATCTGCCCTAAGAATTCTCAGTCAAAGTAACGAGGTATAGCTCGGCAACGGGTAAAGAACAAACCTGTAACGGAAGAAGCTGTTTCGCGTGTGGTTTGCTTGTGAAAATTGTGCAGATTCGTGGCGGTTGCAGCAGGCTATTGGTGCCTCTGGCAGCAACGGAGGAGCCTTGGCGGCCGAAATGAATATCTTCGACCGTGTCTCTCGGATCGTCAAGGTACCTTCGTGACTACCTTCGTTTCTCAGTTGTCATCGGTTTCGTTGCTCCACTGCACTGACCAGTTCAAGCCTATATGTTTGTTAATTCTTACAGTTTTCGCAACCTTTCACCAGCTCTGTTCTTTCGTCCGCTCTGTTCCCTCCTCACTATTATCATCCTTCCCTCCGCTTTCTCCCTCGTCCTCGTCCCCCATTTATCTGGCAGTCGTACACGAACGCGGCGTTGAGCTCGATGGAGGACCCGGAGAAGATGCTGGACCAGACGGTCGAGGACATGCAGAACGACCTTATCAAGCTGCGACAAGCCACTGCACAGGTGATTCACTTCTCTCGCCTCACTTGTTCATTTCTGCCCTTCAGAAGCTAAGCTGAAGCTCATGGTGTTTGACGCTGCCACTTAAGAGACGCGCGTATTCTCCAAACCCTTCACGTTTGCGGTATTTCTTTAACAAGCACATCGGTCTATACACATGTGCACCCCTCTGGCCTGTGTGACCTCGGGCTCTGAGTGACAAGCTATAGAGCCTTATTTCTTTGCTTTACATTCACCGACCTCGCTTTGTGCTGATTTGTGCTGACTTCGCCCTTGTTTACTGCGTGCTTTCTGACTGGATTGCTTGATAGGTGCTCGCCAGCACTAAGATGCTGGAGAACAAGTACAAGGCCGCGCAGCAGAGCTCTGACGACTGGTGCGTACGGTTACTCGCACCAGCCTTTGCGTGTGTGGTCGTTTATGTTGCCGAATCACAGTGGCGTCAACACTGGAAGTGCTCATTTTACGTCTTTCGCGAGCATGCGCCTGCTCCCGCCTCCTCGTTCCTGTGCCGCTGCATTTGCTCCTTGTTTGCTCTACAATCCGGTGCTCATCGCATATCTCCGCCGTGCGCTCGCGCCCGCTTCCGCCCGTTCCTCCTCCCGTTCTCGTCCCTCCGTTCGTCCTCCCGCAGGTATGCGCGGGCGAAGCTGGCTCTGGCCAAGGGCGAGGAGGAGCTGGCGAAGGAGGCTCTCAAGCGGCGCAAGGAGTTCGAGGTAAAACGGCACAGGCTTTTAGGCTTTTAGGTATGGTATGCGTTACTGTGCGGTTCGTGTGTTAGCTAAAGGTTTGAAGCAGTGCAGTGTGCGCCGTTTTTTTGTTTGTGTGTCTCTTTGTTCTTGTATTTTTTTTGCCACGTCTGAAATTTATCAGAAGTTTGGAATGTTTGAAGGCGTATAAATTTGTAATTCTCGTGCGTGCAGGAGAACGCGAGGAGCCTCGAGTCGCAGCTGGAGCAGCAGCAGTCGACAGCAGACAAGCTCATCGGTAACACTCGGGTAAGTTCCGTTCCGTGGCGTGGGCGGCCATTAAGCAACGCATGCGCTGTTGTTTGGTGTCGAATTCCATCCATGCTTGTTTAGCAACGCAGGCCAGATTGTTGTGCCACTCGCCAAACACCATGCTGCTCCTGTCATCGTCAAACACCAAGTGCATTAATCTTCTCCCTTTTATGCATCGCTTTTGTCCTTCTCGTCTCGGGTTTCGGTTGAATGTATGGGCGCGTTTTCCCATGGTCTGTATGTGTGTGGGTGTGTGTGCGGAGCAGCTGCTGGAGAGCAAGATTTCTGAGGCAAAGGCGAAGAAGGACACTCTCAAGGCCCGCGCTCAGTCCGCAAAGTAAGCTGGTCTTAGTGTTATGGCTTGCCAGCAATGTGCTGGGCCTTTCTCGAGGGTGACTCATTCTGATTTGTCTGCGAGCGTCCCCACCATCGCTGGCACCCGAACTGAGTGCAATGTCCCTCTCGATTTGGACCAGAGCTATCGTGCTCATGCTTGAGCTGTGCGCTTGTGTGCGCGTTTAGTTGTTTTGCGTCCTCCACTTTTCCCCTCCTCTCGCCTCCCACTCACCTCACGTCCCGTCTCTCCGTTCTCTCTTTCTCTTTCTTTCGCGTGTGGCCTACAGGACGCAGCAGAAGGTGAACGAGCTGGTGGGTGGCATCAGCACCAGCAGCTCTCTGGCTGCGTTTGAGAAGATGGAGGAGAAAGGTGAGACCCGGGAGGTTTGTGGGAGGGGTGGGATAGGAGAGAGGGAAGGTCATCAAGTCAGAGAAAGCACATGACTCGGACATTCTGTAAGGAGGGAAGCTATGCACGTCGTGTGTTCTGTATGGGGGAGTATTGCTAGTGAAAGCGAGCGCGTTTTTTGGCCATCGATCTGGCTCTGTGTGGAAAGTAAAGCCTTGGGCTGGCTTGCTTAACTCTCGGCAACTCTGACCACACCTTCCACTCTTACCAGAGTGTGATGCTTCTTCAATTACAGCACACTCCGTTGCCCCTACTGTCTGTCAACTGACGTTCCTTATTACTCATCAGTATGCCTTGTTCTTTTTTTTGCACCATTCCCGCCTCCCCCATCCCCCCATTCGCATGTGTATTTATGAGCAGTGCTCGCCCTTGAGGCGGAGTCAGAGGCAGTGGGCCAGCTGACGTCAGATGATCTTTCCTCCAAGGTGGGTAACAGCATGCCTGCCTGCCTGCCTGTCTGCCAGCTGTTTTCGCGCCTGCATCCATGTCATGGAAGTT